GGTAAGGAACTAGAGGAGCGCAATGGTAGCAGGCGAACAGTCATAGAGTCGAGCCAATCGCATTGAATTACTCTTCATTTTTTTTTACTTTCCTAGCCGCGAGGTCGACCGAGGGTATAAGAAGAATAAGAATACGGCCAAAACTGTAAGCCTTGTGCAGTTTTAGACAAGATCAAATGCGCATTCAAATGGCTCAATGTTTAGATAGTAGATAAAGCGTGGCGCATTCTGGGTTAGATCTTCGGCATGTATCTTTCTTCAACATTATTCTTCTTTTGCATTCGTTAGTCTTAAATGTACTCTTACAGGAGGGCTGATATGAGCGATCGAGGTTGCTACCTATGCGAAGTGAATACAGAACCATCCAGCACCATTTACGCAGTCTTTCTTGATGTTCAAGGTGAGCCATGCATCCTATTATAAGATAGAAGAGTTACGTCTACAGTAGGAGCCGCTTGGATGAGTGTTGTTAACCTCAGCGCTTACTAAGAACTTGAAACACCGCAACCATTTCACAGTTCTAACCCAAAGCATATTGGGCTTTCCCTTTACCAATTTTCCCGCATTTGGAGGAGCGTTAAACGAAGCGATTACGATAAAGAGGGAGCGCATCGGGGAAGCATATGCACCACACGAATCAGTTACTTGGCTGCCAGGGAAGCGAGTGTGGCGCTTTCACGACGAAAGGTGCGCTGGTTGCTGAGCAGGACTTCGAAAGCGCTCCGCCCCAAAAGCGATCCGCCCACTAGTTTACTTGGTGATTTGGACGAGCTGCGTGCCAGCAGCGGCACAAATGGAGCATCTCGATTAAAGCGTGGTTTGGCATGGTGCCACCAAACGCGTTGCGGTGAACTCGTTCATACGTCCACTTTCTGAGCTGTTACCTGTTCATGAGTGAAAACCAACGGCCAAAAAAGGGTCCCGTTTTGCGTTTCTTGACGGATTTTTCTGCTTTTTTCGCTACTGGCGTACCATTGAGCACCACCACGTCACACTAAACCCTTCTTGAATTTATCGTAGCCGCTACCTTTAGGTTTAAAACTGCTTGTACCGCTGCAATGAAAGGGGCGATGGTGATATAGCAGTGGTAATAGGCGCTGCTTTCCAAGCACACGGTCATGGGATCAAAATCCCGATGGAACTTCGCTCAGGCCTAACTGATTACATCTTCTCGATGGTTTAGTTGGTTCTAAATGTGTCTAGTGTATAAAACTTCAACCTCTGCAACCTCGTCTGAATCACGTGCGACTGAGGTTACGATTTTGAAAGGGATTAGGGAGTATGGTATGTCCCAGAGAAGGATTGATCAACGTCGATCACTTTTCCCTCTTATATTCTTGTATTCTTACTGATCAAAATGGTAGCTCTCATATCTCTTTCCGAGCCTTGGGCGAAAGTGGTGTTAGTGGCAAGTAATTTACCACGCACGTGATCAGGGGATCAAATCCAGGATAATACGCGGTCCATAGCGACATCGCATCAAAATGTCCCTTATTTTGAATATAAGTAGAACGCGTCTCGCAAACCCAGGTAGGCGCATTGAGCTAGTGGGAAGACATACGCCACTAGTTCGCCTTGCGATGAGAAGAACGTTTGCTCAAATTATCAGTCCAATATTAGTTGAGAGAGCAAGGTGGATGGGCAGGGCAAAGCAACTTCTACGTTCAGCGGTACAGGGCTGTGTCCTTATATGAAATGTATGATCGAAAAAGGGATCAGAATATGCAGTGTTCATTTTCAGAACCTCCACCACCACCACCTGCTGCTCACAGTGAGTATTTCTTCATAATCTTTTGGTTAATTTATTATATTTTATTGTTCATTGTGACGTTATTGTAAAGTTAGATTTTCACCCAGAATCTTAACGGCCTAGACTTGATAATGGCAGAAAATACTATGATACGGGCTTTGTAGATGACTTATGCTTCTAATCGCTATTGAATTCTGCTGAAGGATAGTACTCCCAAAAACCCATCTGTTGAAATTTTTTATTTTGCTTCAGCTATTGCCGGAAATATTCTTTTTTTTTGTGTCGGTAGTCGTTGGGCATCTAGTCCTTCTTGTCTGTCTATTTTTCTTAAAGGCAATTAACTTTATAATAGGTTCCGGACAAAGATGCAACTATTCCACGAGGCATTGATTGAAACAGGAAGTCTGTTAGCTGGTGTGCGAAATTAGGTCGTTGAGGAATTGCGTTTAGAGGAAGGCTCATTCTTGTTTTGTCTCCCTCAAGATAATTGTGTTTAGCCACATACTGAACAGCACAATGACTTTGTCACATCTCGAGAAGCCTATGAGAAGTCTCTTCCATCAGAAATGGATTTTGTTATGATACAAGTTTGGATAATTTTGAAATTCCTCCTGCAAATCTAACAGGAGGCTCGTGCAGGGGTCAGCTAGGCACAGATGGGGCTCGATCCAGCATAACTTCTTCAGCACGCGAGCGTGACCTATTCTTTACCTTGTGGTATCCTTCGGGCTTCTAGCAATTCGAGAAGCCCCAGATGCGGCTCGAAAGCATGCAGAAGACCATTTAAAATGATCCTCCCTCTAGAGAATATATTGCCAAAGGACTGAGGGAAGATTTTCGAGATGGGTGGAGGATACCGGTTTTGCTTCATGGTCGTCGGCGGCTGAAAAGTGTTCCTGTCGTGCGCATTTTGCAGTTCAAGTCTTACCGTAATCACTAGGTCGCGAAATAGGTTCTCGCGGTTTTTGGTGCTTCATTTTTGAATGCTTTATTTTGTTCAAGATCAAGGCGGTTGCTAAGGTTTTATATCCTATTTTGAAGCGCTTTCTTGCTTTATGTATCAGTGAGATCAAGTTCGTTCTGATGCATTTCCTTATTCTGCTTTTTCAAAGCTTTCACTACGGCACACTCGAAGGGCAAGGTAGTGGGCTTTTCTTTTTCCAGCTGAAAACAGGCTTGAAAGGAGGCTTGGTAATACCAAAAATGCAAAATCAGTAGCGTGTGCCTTTGCAGGGAACATAGTTAAGAATCAGAGAAAAAAGAAAATATCCTTGAACATCTGTGCCCTCTTATCCTTCTTTCAAGTGACCATCTAATTTATCGTGACTGCTGCCTTTAAGTATGCTTTATTTTGGGTGCAGTGAATATTGTTGCACGCTAGTGTTTGACATAATTCTTCAAATAACATGTATGTTTTCCCTATGTTTACATTGAAAAATATCCGTATTTTTTCACACTCTGGTTTAACTCGACTTCAACATGATTCAAATAGTAGTTCCAGAGAAGGGCACTCTTCTAATGGCGAACATGGCCGGTGATGAGGTGCTTCTGAATTGTACGGTATCAGTTGGCGGCGAACCAGCAGCTGACGAGGATGATGTCGTATGGACTCGTGATGGTAAAGCGATGAATCTCAACGATACCAACAGTAAGTTCTAATGTTCATATTTATAAAATTGGTAAATGAGTGATGAAGGGAAGGAAATGAAGGGCCGATTCCCTTTTTTTAGCAACTCTGGTCACTGTCGCTTTAGTTGCTTGTCAGCATTGTCATGAAGATTTCCCAAAACTGATATATCCTCAAATCACCCACACATCCTCTCCTATGTACTATTTGTTCTGGCTCTCGTCTAACCTTTGTTCGACTTCGTCTATTTTCGACGCTCCTTTGTTTCCGGTCGCATTTCATTCCCTTTCTTTAGTCCCAGTTCATACCATAAATCCGTTCGCTTGTCGTTCGCTATCACTGGAGGCCGTAGTTTTCGCTTCTTTCTCCTACCTACTCTCTTTTGATGGACGTTGCATATCGGAAAGTCCAAGATCTTCCATCTAAAATCTTGACTATTCTAATACAGTTCTCTTTACTTCTGTCGGTTGATAGTTGATGGGATGAGGTTGATAGACAGAAACTGTAGTCGGGCAATTGGGCCTTCGGTCCATTTTCAAAGGCCTCAGTTTTCACCACAGGAATGTGGCAGTGAGACACTTAATTAATATGTTAGTGTAGCGCAATTCGCCCTTAAAGGCACAACCCAGGCCGGTCGTGTGAACGCTTACCTTCGGTCTGTAGTATAGACCCCTAGAGGACAATCACAAATGTGGCGTTCCCGTGCACGGAAACCAACCGACAAGAGCGCTTGGGCCTTGCAAAGTAAGCTGCTGAAGCTGCAGATTTTTTCTCTTATCAGGCTGTTGTCTGGCGCTCTCTCATCTGTAGCGCTCTCTCGCCTCATACTCTCCTCTCCGCGCTTAGTCTCTCATTCCCTTAGCACAGCCGATTAGGAAGGTGAGTGAGCCCTTAACCTAAGCGTTTTCGACGGATTCTTTTCCTTTTTTCTTCACTGCCGGCCCATTTCGCACCAATACATTCGCATTCGTGTGCAAGAGCCACACCAATGTGATCCTGGGGCATGCCTTTAACGAGGAAGTGCTAAATTTTGGCATTCGTGGATTATTACCTCTCTTATTACCTCTCTGCCTACCCACCTCCACTACTGTTTTTCTGTGAACGAATCACGCCAGCTTGATGACGGGTACCCGCAAAGGTACTGATCATGATTTCTAAAAGGGTTTGCAATTTCGATGAGGTCATTGTACGTCATTGGTGGAAGGGTGTTAACAGGCGCTACCATCTATACCCCCTCCCCTCCTCCCCCAAATGCGCCGAGTGGTGTACTACACCAATGGCGGTCAATGATGCCATCGGAACAGCACCGCCACGCAACCATCGTGATCACTGCCTTCAATCTACTTCCGTAGTTGGTGTAGATTCCTGTGGGAGGAAGTCCGATAAAGATTGGACCAGGTGCGATAACTTATGAATCGAAGAACCGGACAATTGGTTTTGGAGAATCGGCGAATTGGCGAATAAGTGATTGATATCTCTCTTTTCCTTCTCGTGGTCCCTTCTCTCAGTTCATATCTTCATATGTGTTTGGAATAAAAATGCATGGCGTATCCCAGACAGGCTGCTTATTCGCTATCGTTAGTCCTTTCATTTAAAGACATCCTTACCATATTCGCTGCATATTAATATGTAGAAGTGCAGCACAGCACAATTTCTGCTAGGCGAGTTGATGTGACCTTTAATTACTATTATTGCACCTGAACGTTGCCGCATTATGAATTCAGTGAATATGCGAATATTTGTAAGTGGCGAAGGTCGTCCGATGAAATCATAGAAGCGCATTAAATTTGAAATTTGCATAACGAGATTTGCCGCTGCATGTTGCGCGCTCGTCCGTTCGCTGGACGGCTGACGACGGGGTTGAAGAGCAGCGGATAAGAGGTAATGGGATAACGTCCCATCACCGATGCACGTCATTGAGGTCACGTTTACGGGGTGGAGAAGGAACAGCTGAGGCAGGGAGCCGAACTGAACTGCAGTGATCTCTGCTACTCTCAAGGGTTACAAGGTCACCAAATGTCTAACCGGGAAAGTGATATTTCTGCTTAAAACATGATGGAGTCCTGAGGCAAATTCTGCAGTACATGTGGTGCCTTTGTTTTCAACCTGGTTATGGTTAGTAACAGTTAGCATTGGGCCTCTAGCTTCGATCATTCCGAAAAGCTCGCGAAACGTTATCTGAATAAAACTGTTTATCTGCTCTCCCATTACAGCATCTGTACAGCCTTTGATGACATTTTCCACGTATCCATTACTCGTCTTGTAATCAGTCGAATAAGCGTAACTGATTTCAGAATACATCTGGAAGGTGAAGCGATCAGCTGGAGTAGTCGTGTATACGGTCCGAATTCGTAAAGCAACTATGGAAGACGACGGCGACTACGCCTGTGAAAGTCGGCATCAGCGAGCCAGCCAAATCGTTCATGTCAATAGTGAGTTTTCTTTATGCTGTTATCAATCCTGTTTTCCTAATTTTGTCAACCTTTCGAGAAGTTCCTAAACTTTGACTCCACACGAACGCTTCTGAGGATGACCCGTTCTCTGTTGGCATTTTGTAGAGATCTAACATTCGGTTAAAGGCCTGGCCCAGGATGAGTAAAGATGAGTGAAGACTTTTAGAGGTGTAATAGAGCTGTGTTGGGAATCTAACACTTCCGTTTCTGCTTAAAGGAATCTTGCGCGGAAAAATCATGATTCTATTTCAGCCATAAATCACTGGCTTGAGACTCATTATCCACGATAATAGTGAAAAGAACTGAAGTATTGCTTTCGTTTTGATTAGAAATTCGAAAACTCGAAAAGGCTGCTACGCGTTCGAATTGCCCACGGACGTCTTTCACGAATGCTGGCGACGGGGATGCTCAAACTTGGTTCTTGGAGTGCATTCACTAGAAGCTCTTTCTGGCCTTCTGCTTCGTTGCATTCACATCTTACACTTCTACTCCATCCTATTCCATCGATCGATTTGTCTCCACTCTCCGAAATCGCGCGCTTTAACCCGATTCTCTCATTGCGTCGCCTGGTACGTAGCCGGCCAAACGCCGTCTTCTTTCCATGCCTCGCCTGGCTCTGCCTCCTGGTCCTTCGATGGTCCATAACGTGTAGTTTTTGTACGTTTGTTTCTCTTCAGAAACCGAATCTTCATGCGTGAAACTTTGTGTGCTATTTCCAGTGATCACAACTGATGTTAGGAAAGAGTGCAAGAATTTTCCGCGCAAGATTCCTTTAAAGATTAACAAAAATAGCGTAATGTGTAGTCTAGAGCGACTAACGTTTCTTCTTGCTACGCAGCGTGTGGTGCTCTGCGCCTCTCTCAGCCGTTGGTGCTCTCTCGCCACTCATGCCTGTCTCTGTCGTGCTCAGTCTCTTGTTGCTAGCCACAACAAATGAGCTGTGTTTTTGACTTAGCTTTCTCGGAGCGACTTTTATTGTCCCTTTACTGTGGTCCCGGGACGGCCAGTTTTTCATGGGTTCCGCTGTGTAAGACCGACACACAGTGATCCTGCAGCGTGGCTTTGAAGGCACGGTGGAGAAGTTCTCGAGTCGGTTACACGTACGGTGTGAATAGGTTCGAAAGTGAATCTAGAGCCGCAGACACAGCACAGACCTATCAATTCGATCCGGATTTCTGGGCAGCTTCAAACGATGGGCCAGCGAAATATCCTCTGCCGCCTCAGCACGAACAAACAATGGCTACCATTGTGTCTTTTTGGTAGATTCAGCGGGCTGTACAAAATATGGCATTTTGGAGTTTGGGACTGAGGCGTCAGATGGGTGTGCGGAGAGGCAAGTTTTGGGAAAAGGCGCGCCCTAAAAGAGAATGCTTGGGGTTGGGACCGGGGGGTATTTGTTTGTTTGCCACCGGTGTCCCTAATGTCTCTACACAATCCGATCTCTGGAATATTTTGAGTTTAACTGTGGGTGTTTTTGGATGTTAGTTTGTTTTTGGTGAAGGGGTCCTCAGTAGTAGGTCGGTGGTTTTTTGGTGTTTGGAAGTGTAAACTGGTCGAGGCGGGTTCAGAACGTGTTGCTTCGGGAGTGCCCCGCAACATGCCCGAATTGGCGTCTGAGTAGTTATGATGCAGATGATAATAAACTAGAAGATGCATGGGCCTTTCACATAGGTGAACTGCAGCTGCGACATGAAATACATGGAATCATGGAGTATGTAACATCCTTTTGAAGCGGAGGGCGATCCCTTTCGGGTAGCGGTACTGGTTTGTGGTTTTGGAGCATGAGACTGCGGCGCTTGCAAAACTAATGCATCTGGTCGCCCAGCTAAATGCAGATCCTTCTCGTTTCTTGCAGCCTTGGCTTCCTTCCCGCTTCGCGGGGGATATGCACTTCCTTGTTACAGCCACTTTATCTATTCACTGCTTTAAGGCAAGGTCAATTTTTTGGTCGCAGCGCGGCTTATGCATTGCTATACGAAGTTTCTGTGAACTTCAATTTATATTAGGTTGGAAAGAAAGTCCTGCAACACTTTTTCAAATTTTTGATTTTAATTTTATCTTTTTTGGTTACAACTTCTGACTGGTCTTATATCTACCATGAGTGTCCACCACTTGTCTCCATCGCTCAGAAAATTTCTTGATCCTCCTCTGCCAAAACCCAGCGGAGTGCGAGTCGAGAAAGGAGGCGACCTCACTTTCGAGTTGGAGTTGATCGTCTGATTATTTCGTTATAAAGATGATGATTAAAAGTCCAGGATAGGTAGCACTTATTTACAGCTCGACCAGAGGATTACGCTAAGAGAGGAAAGAAATCTTGCCGCAACTCCAGAATTTCTTACCGGGCTCATTTCGGATCATGGTGATTCGCAATGTCATGAAAGAAATGAATATTGTCGCGGTACGAGGGCTCTTGACGAGCTACCTCGGCCAGCTTCTGGTACTTCACAACCTAGGCCACTGCCTACACAATGGTGCCCATAACGAAGGGTATGTAGTGGAGCTTCTGTAAGAGCCCTACCTGTAATGGAGTGTGAGGGATGCTGCTGGCTTCTTATAAAAATATCAAAAGATCGGAAGCGCTGGTAAAGGTGAAACACGCTGTATCGCTGAACGGCATGCCATTAGAAGCTATTGCAGATAGTGTCAGTCGTTGACACGAATCCATGGTTTTGTAGACATTTGTACTAGACAGTGACTCGGAGTACGGATTTGCTAGTGGTCGAGATTTTTTGAATTTTCTTGGATAACTACTGACTGCAGAACTTATATCCACCTCGTGGATTGAAGCCTTGAGAATGCTCTATCATTTGGTAGTCATAAATGTTACCTATGAATTTTCAGAAAAAAAAGAAAATTTTGGAAAGAGTGTTGCAGAACTTTCTTTCCAACCTAATACAAGTTTGTCGACAAGTTTAAGCCCCCTTAGGATGGATTAAGTTTTTTGATGACGTCGACTAGTAAGTAATGTGATTTCAGAAGCCGAAGCTCAGCGAAGTTCATCGCTGTCATTGGCGATGCTGTCAACTCAACTCACAGTCCTTATGATTGCTGGGCGAATTTTGTGACACGACCGTGCAGTGTCACCGAGGGTATTTTATTCCGCTCACATTCTCATTAACTCATCATCAGAACAGAACATATTTGCCGTATATGTACACTTGTATTCCGCCGTCCTGAAAGTATTTCGTGCATGGTATTGTTTTTAGTGATATTTAAGAGAAAACCCGTGGGTAAACATTGGTGAACGTTCTCCCTTTATCCGAATTATTCGTTCTTTCAGTCATTTTTTATTTTATTTTGCGATTTAGTATTAATCGATTGATATCTTTGCCACATCCATTGTTCTCATTATATACGTCTGAATAAAGTTCTCAGGTTTCTTCAATTTGCACGGCTTATACTTACTGCTTTCCTAGCGGTTCGCAGCTCAAGCGATTTGACCGCAGGAGTACTTGAAAGCACTTCAAGATGGATGTGCAGTATGCCTAGGGAAGCAACACATTCTCTAGAGACGTTCTCCCTCGAGCAGGATGGCACGAGTTTCACGACATAGCAGCGAGCGGCCGCGTCGCGCATCAGGTGTTATCCATCCCGTAAAAATGCGCACTAAATGGCATTCCAAGAGACGATCTGTCAACATTTTATTGAACGAGTCCGTAACTTGAGTTGACTGCTTTTTTGAGCTTCGACTGGGTGAAGTCGATTTTTCAAGAATTGTTGGCTCATTTGAAGAATAGTCAAGTAGGTAAAAAAAATTAGGTGTTCAGGAAAATGGATAGGTCAGGGGTTGGCAATTCATTAAATTAGCAATATCACTTTTCGTGAAATATGCGCTGGCTATGCAGGACATACTCCGAACGTCGCAGTCGCCGAAGCAGGAGGAGTCCGCGGAAGTAGCCGCGCGCGGTCGCGTCGCGGACTCGAAAGCGTATTGAACAGCGATTAGCTGGAAATCATAATGCATCAAAGCTGGTGAGTTCGCTTAGAAACCTAGACTTAGAAAGATACTCACCGGAATATTCTGTAATGCGATTTGGCTCTTTGTAGCCGCTGGGTGAAAGGCATTGTGCTGCATAAATCGGTAATGTGCTACTGAATGGCTTCATTGAGTGGTTCGTAAGGTGAAATAGATCGTTCTAGGAAAGGATTACGATAAGGAATTTTCGCATCGGGGGAGAACCTGCGCCACACGGAGCAATTACTTGGCTGCCAAGGAAGCGATGTGTGGCCCTCCCACGGCGAAAGGTGCTGTGGTTGCTGAGCAGGACCCGCGTGACGCCCCGCCCCCAGTGACGTGACGCCCACTAGTTTTGTTGATGATCTGGATGGACTGTTTGCTGTTGGCTTTTCATTTTGGATGATCATTTCCCTTCTAGCGGCTGTATCTTCCAACTTGCCCACGTATTGCCTTATCAATCAGAACACTATGCTTGTTGGCATGATGGCGGCTATCGGGTTAACACGTCCGAACAACGTCGTTCTTTACCGTCGCTCATCCATGGTCGAAAATGAAAGGGCAATCAAAGGGGTACTATTTTGCTTATTTTTGACGGATTTCTTTGCTTTTTTCGCCATTGGCGTACTATTGAGACCTCCACGTCCCCTCTAAACCCCTGTGAGATCTATCGTAATCGCTGCTTTGAGTGTATACCAGCGGAGGAGAAAGTTCTTGATAGAATTTTATAAAGCGCTAACTTTGTGTGTCGGTTTGTATGTCTGTATGTGTGTGTATGTATGTATGTATGTGTGTCCGTCCGCAAAATGAAGTGGTAGGGAAACTCGTGAAGTAAACAGACCGTTAACAAAATCGAGTAACTATGACTTTAGCAATCAATGTTTTGCAGTGCTATCAATGTGATAACACCCCAACGGCTATATAAACACCTACTGAGCATGGTCTCATTCATTCCACATGATGCTGCAATAGCAGCTGGAGAGCAGTAGAGGGAATAGGATAAGATGGAGAAGGGCGAGGGGAGCTAACCGCCAAAAGACCTGAGGTCCAATTAATATCATTCTAAGGTCATGTCACGATTACGGTAATGCCTTCTACTATATAAGACACTTTTTTGTGCATGCGTGCCACCTCCACGAGGTGTCCATGTCACCAGTGGATGGGAGCACATTGGAAGGAGTAAAGCTTACGCAGGTAAGGAGGTCCCGGTGGTTGCCGGGGGACCAATCTGGTGAATAAGCGTAGGAAATGTATAAGAGCAGGCATTCGAAATGTCTGTTTATAAATGAGGGGGATTCGCGGTTGGCAAACGAAAACATGTCAAAAATCGTAATGTTTGCCTAAGCCTCAGGCAGCTAACAAAAGAAAACATGTCTGAAGTTGAAACTTGCCCTCACAAAACAGAAGTTAACAAAACAAAACATGTTGACAAACTCCCACGTGGCTTTTTAGTGATAGCCAGAAACTTCATTTCTGCGCTATCACTTTTCTGAGCTTTTTGTTTTTTTTATTTCGACTGTCTCAAGTTCTGCATGCTCGTTAGGTTGGAGGAGTTTTAGAGGGCATGGAGTGTTCAATGGTATGCTAGTGGCGAAAAAAGTAGCAGAGAAACCCGTAAGAAAGCGCAAAATGGGACCCGTTTGAGACCGTTGCTTTGTTTAGAGACGGGCAGTGGCTAGGAGGGCGGACGTATGCACGAGTTTACCGCAACCGTCTGGTGTTACCATGCTAATCCGCGCTCCAGTCGGTTGCTCCAGTTTGGCCGCTACTGACACACGCTTGTCCAAATCGCCACTAAAGCACTGGTGGAGTGCGCTCCAGAGCATTTCCAAAGTACTGCTTGAGCAACCGCGGCAACTCTTCGTTCGTGAAAGTGCTCACCAATCCTTTTTGTGCAGACAGCTACTGCTTCGTGTGGAGCATACACTTCACCCTGGCGTTCTCACATATCGAATCAATTCCTCGAAAAAAAAATGTCTACGGAGAAATCGGGATTCTGTTTCGCCATAAATCATTGGCTTGAGAACCTCGTCCACGATGAAACGAAGAAGAACTTGGTTGACACTTCGAAAAACCGTAAAAGATGCTACACGCGTTCAAATTCCCGCCGGACATCTGTCACAAATGCGGCGAAACGCTTCCACTTGGTTCACGGAGTGCTGTCACTAGAAACTCTTTTTGACCTTTTGACTTATTGCACTAACATCTCACACTTCTACTGCATCCTATTCTATCGATCGTTTTGTCTCTATCTCCAAAATCGAACGCTTTGACCCGATTCTTTCAATGCGTCGCCTGATACGTGGCGCCCCAAGGCGCTTCTTTCCATGCTTCCCTTGTCTCCGCCCGACCTACCTCGACCGTCCATAGAGTGTGGTTTTCGTAAGTTTGTTTCTCTTCGGAAACTGAATCTTCTGCGTGAAACTTGTACATTGTCTCTAGTGATCACAACTGACGCGCTCATATTGAGAAAATGGAGACGTTTTCCGTGAACGATACTTTCACGATGATTCCTGTAGTTCCCTTGCTGAAGAGGGACAGAAAGGAGCAGGTCATGGGCGAGAGGCCGCCCAAACGCAGATCCTCGACGTCACCCCGTAACCGTCGCCTACAGGTCGAAACCTCCATGTCACCCGCTCAACCGGCGCTTCCAGGTCGGAACATCCACGTCATCTCAACATCATCTCCGCGTCGAGCCGATATCTCGAATGGGCTGAGTGAGTCTCGCTGGAGGGAGCCACGCCAGCCAGTCGCCCCGGAGTCACCTCACCAATCGGACCGTTCGCCTCGACTTCTTGGTTCGCCTCGACATTGGAGTCACCAGTCGCCAGGTGTCGCCGTTGAGTCGATACCCGTCGCACCCCATATAGTTGGTTTATTTGTTAATAAATTCTTTATTTTTCTGTGTCCTGTCGTGTAGCAAGGAGGGGTAGTCCGTAGGTTCCTATCACTCGGGGGCCACATCCTTCCACCCATTGTTTACAACAGTACGAACAATTCCAGCAACATGCCTTCTATCCTTCCACCGTGGCGGACCATGTTGAAATCTGAATTCAACTATCACGAGAGCATCGCTTACTCATCGCCTCCTCCCCAGGCTTAGCCTCAAAATGAGCATGAAAATTAAACAAAGGACAGCAATGCATCTTACAACATATAATCGTAAAAATTAAGTAAGAGTCATTCTCTAATGGGGCGTTCATAGTTGCGATCGTCCCCGCGATTATCGCGGTCATGGTTCATACGAAGTTATTACGTCGATTAGGCGATTAGACGATTACGCGATAGGAGAAGGACACATTGATCCGCCCATTGAGCGGTCGTCTATTCGCCTAATCGCTTGAAACACTATAGGCGGAACAAGCCAATCAATACATATGAAGTCTTAGCGCCTACTCGCCTACTCGCCTGATCGCTTGCTCGCTTACACGCCTAATCGCCCGATCTATACGTATATTTTTCATTGTAGGCAAAGCGCCTAACCGCCTGAATCGCGATACTATCGCCACTCGAACGCTCTATACGCACTGAAACTGAAAAGTTGGCAGTGGAAACATTCGTACCGTGGCTAAGCAATGTGACTGTTAAAACGCAAAATATGATCTCACCCAACAAGTTTGAAGCCGCTCAGCTATAGGTATTCCGAACAAAGCAATTAAAACCGGCCTACTTAGCTAGTTCCCCAAAGGGCTCATCGGCTCCAAATGCAATTTGGCTCCAAAGGAGTCCTTAAATTACGAACCTGCAACCGCTTCCATCCTACCTCATTTCGTATTTATTGTTATTTATTGTATATCTATGTTATTGTTTTTAACCTCATTTCTTTAGTTTGTTTGCATTATGAATTTGTTCTTTTGCTGGATAACATTAATGCCTATTGCAAGTAATATTCACCTAGTGAGCAGCTAGGTGTGAGCCCAGGAAAGGGGGAAGTCTCCCGGGAAAAACGGAGATGCGGAAAAAATCAGAGGCATCTCTCCTCTTTTCAGGCTTAGTTCTTAACGTTTACAATGGAGGAAACAGTGCCGCGCCATCGCGTGGCCTCCTCGAACCCGAGTTTCACCGGGATTCTAGAGTGTAGCTAATGTAAAGTGCTCTAACACTTTTGAG